TTCGGTATACTTTCGATGCCATATTCAAGAAATTCGTCCAAACCTCAGGGTGGTGAATAAGTGCTGGGCTGTTCGAGAGGGTGAAGGAAGAAAAAGTCCCACTACTAGAACGGACAGGACCCCCAAAACCAAAATTAACACTATCAGCAGTGTAAGGAATGAGTACCTGCGTCTCAGCAACTTTCTGAGAAGCCTCCTCCATTAGAGGGATTGGAGCAAACTTCTGATTATTGATTTCCAGAAGGTTGGCCGTCAGCGAAGGAAGAGGTGGAGCGGAAAAGTCGGAAGACTTGGAGGAAGTTGCCATTTCAGTAATAGGGAGATTAGAGGAAAACAAGATAAAAGGAGGGGGCGCAAGGATGAAGACAGGAACTCAAGGAAGAAGATGAAGGTGTAAAGGGACAAAAGTTCGCGTAAAAAACCTGAGTAAAAAACCAATAGAGTTTAAAAAGGAAAATCGCCTAGGGGGCTGGAAACGACGGAGGTGAAAGGTAATAAATGTAGCGTGTACTGTAAAAACAGCAGACTGACGAGACAGCGACGTAAAGCAAAAGGGAAAACTAAAACCCTTTTAACCCTAGAACCCCAGAAACCCTAAACCCTAAGTTCTGAGGGCCTCCAAACACTAAGGCGGGAATATTGAAAGAATATAAACAGAAATCACTTATATTCTTCCAAGGGGGCATTTTGTTAGTGGAAAATCGAGAAAAACGATCGAAAACGAAGGAAAGGAAAGAGAGAACATGTGACTGATAAATCAAGATAGATAAAAAACCATTCGATGTCTAAGCACGTAACACATAACATCGAGAAGTACAATCGAGAATCGAAGGAATGATAGTCAAATGCCTATTGTCGAATAAAAACCTAAGAAACTAGAATGATAAGACGTTAAGGTTGAAAAGGAATCATAAGCAATTCGAAGTTCTCGAAAGTGTAAAATCGAAAATGAAGAAAGCTAACCTACACGGACATCGAAAACTTTGGCCAAACCATAAAGAGAAGAGTAAGTCAAACGCACGGATAGAGAGCAGTTTCGAAACCATGGAGGAAATCGAAGATCGTGAGAACGTGGGAAACCGTAGAAGATAAACCGCCATATGCACGTAGAACGTGGTAGTGATCGTGTTAACTGCTCTTGGAAGACTTGAACGATGCACTATAAATAGAGCAAAGAAGGAAGAAATAAGGGGCGAGAAATTGGGAGAGAACAGAATCGGTAGTGAAAAGTCTACCGGAGAAACGACGAACACCATGAAGCTTCTGGCAATCTGGATTTCCTTGCTCACTGAGTACATTTACCGCTTTCTGTATTTTCCTTGGTAATTTGCTTTAATGCAATTTAAATTCAGCAGTTTTATGTTTCTGTATTTTTTCCTTGTCATTTCAATTCAATGAAAGTTTAAATTTCTGCATTTAAGTTTCCCTGTCAAGTACTTTTCTTGCAATCTCGATTTCCTGTCATTTACTTTTCTTACAATTTCGATTTCCTGTCATTTATATTTGCACTCATTTTCGATATCTTGTCATTTACAATTAATGTAAATTTGGGGTTTTCGCACTTTACATTTCCTCGCAATTTACTATTCTGTTTCTCGATTCGGTATGTTTACTGTGTTCGGTATTTTAAATATAAAAAATAGCATTTTCGATATCCTGTAACTTTCGATTCTTATACACGTTTTCGATTGAAAGTCAAATTGCTAGCCTAAGTAAAAAGAACTTACGTGGGAGGATTTTGATTAGGACCAAAACACCTTTAGAATCAAAATCGATCGAAATTTCACCATAAACAATAGTATAATAGCATCCTTGTACTAAATAGAGTGTAAAATTATTAGAGATATTCCCTTACAATTCATCGCAAATTTATTAAAGATGATTTTCTTTCAAAGATCCTCGAAAATATTAGTTAACTTATATTTAAATATATAAGTAATATTAACTTCTATAATTTAAGTTTAAAATAAATTTTATTAATTAAATAAAAAAATATACATTTAAAGTATATATATATATATATATATATATATATATATATATATATATATATATATAACGTAGTATTTTTATGGTTTTAAAAAAATTAGTTGTGAATACTATACATTAGTATAATCTTCTTTTAAACAAGAAATTAAACTTAAATATTTTACCAACAATGTACAAAAATTTTATTTGTTTTTAAGAAAAATAGAAAAAATATTCATGATGTTACTTTATCCAAGTAATAACATTACTTGAATCATTTTATATTTGGTACAAAAAGTGGATTTGTTTTAAATGAAAATAGAAAAATTTATTCATCCAGGTAATAACATTACTCGAATCATTTTATATTAATTACCAGAACAATAATTAAGTTAACATATTAAAATACTTAAACATACATAACTCATTCTAATGCACTTACTGTTATCTAGATAATTTTTTTTATGTTAGATTTAAACTTGATCGGTAGGGTAATTATTTTTATATTAGTGAAACTAAGTGATATTAGTTGAAGTGACTATAAATACTACAAAAAGTATAAGATTCGAACTTAGTACCTTAAAGTTAGAAGTTGATACTCCAACTACTAAGCTATTAGAATTTTTTAATAATAATTTATAAATAAATTATATTTATATATTTATATATGTATATATTTATATATAATTAAATATTTATTTTTTAAATTATTTAATTTAATAAATTATTTTAAATTAATCTAATTATGATTAAATTAAATTATTAAATAAAAAATATTTAATTTTTTAATTAGGTAAATAATTAATTTATTAGAATATATTAAGTAATTATTATATAATTTTATCGACGGATATATTCATCGGTAATTAATTGTTAATTTACCGATGGATTTACTTGACTGAAATATTCGATCGGTAAATAATTGTTAATTTATCGTGCAGATTTATCGATGGATATATTCGTCGATAATTAATTTTTAATTTACCAACGGATTTATCGACGGATATATCCGTCGGTAATTATTTTTTAATTTATCGACGGGTTTATCGATGAATATATCCGCTCAGTAACTAATTATTCATCGGTAAGATCAAATTTTATATTCGTTAGTAATTTCGTTGGTAATGACTCATTTTTTGACAGACCACAAATTCGTCGGTAAAAATTAGTCGGAAATATATGATTTTCTTGTAGTAATTAAGATAAGTGATGATGGTGTTTTCTTTTTACAAAGTCCACTTAAATAACAAGAATTAATCTAATTATGAATTGAAGAATATATTTAATAAAAAAATATACATATAGTTATGAGCTCTGTTTGATTTAAGTTGAAAATAAATTTACTCATATATATATATATATATATATATATATATATATATATATATATATATATATATAATTTATGTTTTGAAACAAAATGAAGTTGGTTATTATCTGGTGAAGGTACTTTTGTCAAAAGGTTTTAGTGTTGAAGTGGTGGGTTATAATATAATATTTGAATAATACAAAATCCTAAAAATACGTTATTGTATGAATCCATTTTGTTCAAGTCTATAATGTTGGCATCTTAGCCCTTTACTTGCATTGCATGAAACTTCCTTCCAAAGCCTTCAAATAAGAAACTTATCATTGACCACTGTTTTTTCAGGAAATCCATTGACCAATTTATTTATTTATTTATTTATGAATAAATGACCAGTGTTTATTTAAGAACTAAATTTTATTTTTAATTAAATATATAATTTAAATTTATGTTTAATTATATTTATAATCCTTAAAATTTTAATAAATAACTTGTCAGCCCTTTAAATTATAAAAAAATATTTTGATTTCTAAACTTTATAATAAAATATAGTTTAATTAACAACATAATTAAAATTAAAATCATTCCGAATTTAAGAGATTAACAACATAATTAAGTCTTGAATATATTAGTTTAATATAATTGTATTTTTGTTATATTGAAATAATTAATATACCCTCTAATATATATCATGAAAGTATAAAAGTAAAATCCAATTCACGAGTGAGAGTGTGCATAGTAGATTTTAGAAAATAACTTTCTAAAATTAATCCGAGCTCTCCTTTGAAGTATCGACGAAAACTTTAACATAAACTCGGTCAAATTAAATTTAAAAAAAAAATCGTTAAAATTAGGTCAAAATCAAACAAATACTCATGTGTTCAAATTTTCATGTTTAATAATGGTCCCACATGTATTTTGAATGTGTCTAAAATTGTCAATATTAATAGTCCGTCTTCAATAGACAGTACTTACACTCATTTAAAAATTATTTAATAAAAATTCTTTTTAATTTATTACGATTTTATTTTTTTTAAAATAATATAATTAATTGAGAGAGCACGATGTGTAAATTGTTCTTGATGTCGATTCTTAATCAATATTGTGTTTACTCCAATAATCTATATAATAATTTTGGTATTTTGATTGAAACGAAGAAAGTTGAATCACAAATTTTACTATTATACAAACCTCTATCATATTGACTAATGGTATAACCAATTGCTTGGTACTGTAGTAGCCACTCCTAATTGTTTAATGTAAAATTACTTAAACTTTAGGTGAAAAAGCACTTTTAACATCAGCTTTTCTCAGCATAGCCAGGTAGGTAAGAAACTGTTCTGATCCCGAATTGTATGAATCCGAAGCCAGTCTATAAAATGTTGGGAAATTGCCTGATCCTTCTTCAACTAGCCACCCTTGTGTGGGGCCATAAGTTTGAATATTATGAAACAAAAAAACACATGCAGCAGCCATTAGATTAGCATTTTAAGTCTTCAAATAAGAAAACTCCGATTCTTGACTACCAAATTAATGTCCATTTTATTATTTGAAGTCTCAATTCCAAACTTATCCAGTTCAATCAAAGGCCTCATTTCCACGAAATTCTCTTCATACAGGTGCTGCTGGACCTATAAAATACAAGTCCTTCCCTCAGGATCTAACATCTACCATCCATCTTCAAAACTTTGACTTCCTCAGATTTCTGCAATCAACAAAATTCACCATGGGAATCACAACCTATACACAGGAATACTCCTCCTCTGTTTCCCCATCACGCATGTTCCAGGCCTTGATCATAGACTCCAGGAATTTGCTTCCGAAGCTCTTACCTCAGTTCGTAAAAGATGTGAACGTAATCCAAGGTGATGGGGAAGCTGGAAGCATTGAACAAGTCAACTTCAATGAAGGTTAGCAACCAAATTAACATGGACACGCTGAACTAAAAGAGGATCACTTCTCTATATTTCTTGAGTTAACTTGTCGTGTATTTCTTTTATGCAGCTAGCCCCTTCAAATATCTGAAACACAGGATTGATGTGCTTGATAAGGACAACTTGGTTTGCAAATACACTATGATTGAAGGGGATCCTTTGGGTGACAAACTTGAGTCTATAGGTTATGAGGTAAAGTTTGAGGCCACTAGTGATGGAGGTTGCCTCTGCAAAATGACCAGCAATTACAATACCATCGGGGAGTTTGATGTCAAGGAGGAAGAAGTAAAGGAAGGAAGGGAAAGCACTATTGCAATTTACAAAGTTGTGGAGTCATACCTGCTGAAGAATCCACAAGTATACGCTTAGTTATTTATTTTTTAGTTTTGTTACTGTGTCATATAGCATAAGACCTACGAATTTATTCAATTTTTAATAACAGTGTGCAACTATAGGGTTGTGTACAATGGTTGCAAAGACTGAAATTCCTTAATGAGTCCTTATCGTAGAAATAGCCAAAAAGTAACAGAGCTGAAGAGTGTTTTGTTTTACCTTTCCATGAATTCCGATGTACTTAAACAAATAAGCAGCTATTCATTTCAGTGGAGTAAAAACATGTTTGGATGGTTGTAAATGGAAATCCAAATATTCACGAAGACTTCGAATCAAAATCATATGACTATATACTCCAATAATGCTCTAGAGGTATTAACATCTTGGACGTACCTGAGGTAAGGGTCCAAGAATTTACATTTATATATGATAAGTTCGCCCTGACCTCATCGTAAGTCTCCTTTTTTGACATAAAAGAAAATGTTACTTGAACCTAATAATTTTGGCATTCCGCGTAATCAAACAAAAATATGGCTATTCAAGGCATGCTGACCATCTCTACATTTCTCACAAAAAAATCTACACTATCAGATATTTCACTCTTTAAAGACGGGCACGACACATTTTCAACCCACGTAAAGAGTGAATATCACTTGCCCCACCATGTAAACAAAGGTTTCATTTTGAATTATTATATGCTGTTTACTAAGGTAAAGTAGTAAAGGTAAGTATTGATTTGGTATCATGCTTACTACTACTAAGAGAGTCTAGATGGTAATCATTCCTTCCTCACTTTGAAAGCAACTACCACTGAATGAAAGGGGGTTTATGGAAAGGACAAGAAAGTTTTTTAATTAAGGACGCCCTACAATTTAAGCTTTTAGACTGTTGGTATCAGATATGTCCCAAGCCTAACACATCTTCCGCATCACTCAATTGAAGATAACAACAATGAGATTCGGCATCAAAGTTTTCAATGTCCACGGAGAATCTGCGAATTCTTTCCTGAATCATCACCCCTCTTCCGAGGACCTATCAAACAACGATAACAATTATCTCTCTCCCCTTGGCCGCTAAAACAAAATGATTCCTTGCATTTCCCACATCTCTTGCCTTTAGCATATTCCTTGCCCGTGCGAGGCATGTACAGACAGATTCCATTCACACGTTCTCCATCCATAATCCACTTCCTTAAAACATAAACATATCCCATTGTTTCTCAAATTTTACAGCTCCATGTCTCCATGGCTCAGGAGTCACAGGTAATATCCAAGCATGTATGTTGGTTAACGTGACAATTCAATATTTTGTTTTATAGTGATTTTCGATCAACTTAAACATACGGCAAGCATTCTCTTCAATGGTGGCTACCATTGCAGGTACCTCGTGTCACACAGATACAGGTCCGAGTGGACTGCAAGGGTTGCGTACAGAAGATCAAAAAGGCACTAAATAACATTCATGGTAGGTACAAATATACGTGATTTCCCTTGCATATGACACACTTACACCATCAATTTATTTGATTCTTCTCCTTTTGCAGGTATACATGATCTTCGTGTTGACTTATATAGACAAAAGCTCACAATTGTTGGGTGGGCAGATCCAGAACAAGTTGTCAAAGCAATTAAGAAGACAAAGAAGAATGCCACAATTTGCTCTAGTATTGAACTAACACCATCTAAACAAACAGAACCAGAACCAAAAAGAAATGCAACAACCCTTGATGCAATACAACCAGAGCCACCACAAGCAAGCCGTCCATTGGAATCACCGCCCCAACAGCCACCACCTGATGCAGCACCATCACCCATACCTACATCTACACAGCACGATGCAACCAGGCAGAGGCAGAACAACACAAGAAGAGAACTGGAACAGATTCATGTGACACACCATTTGTCTAACTACGCTAACAGATTCAGTTCTGGCCACAACCATGCCGGACACTGGCACAGATACGATGATGGACCCGTATTTCAACAAGATCCATCCCCATCCATGTATGTGACACATAGCTATAATACACACATGCCATCATCATACGTCACTGAATACGAATACGTTAGATCACCACCAATGCACACACATTACAATTGTATAGAAAACTACGGTGGAGATTACCAAAACGGCAATGTAAACATCAAATCAATGTTCAGCGATGACAACCCGAATGCGTGTTGCATTGTATAGTTAGGGTGTTAATAAAGTATTATGAAAATTAAAGAGAAAGTCTCTTGTGCTTTCAAATGTCTCGATAGGTGAGTTGTGGAAGAGAATTCACAAAACAATATAATATGAAGATAAAAAGTAAGAACACTGTAGTTTGGATGTGATCCGAGAATAGAGAATGTTCCAAACTTCTGGGTGCTAGAAAATTTTATTCTGGATTCGTTTCGTGAGAACGAAATACATTTCGGGTAGATAACTGATATTAGCCAAACAAAGACATTTGGCAGTTAATTTGCTATGTCACGCCAATTTGAGGTATGGGAAAATCAAGAAATCAAAGATGTTGTAGATCCGGAGTATTCTGAGAATATCTCCAAACATGCAGTAAATATTATGTGCCCCGAGCTACATTCGTGTATTTTTTACTTATCAGTAAAAGTTTGAAATTACATAAATTAGCGCCGCGTCATTTTTAATAATTCTGGAAAACACCAAAATTTCTTTCTGAAGAGGTATCCATCTATATAGCAACAAAATTGTGAACAAGAAGAGGCTGGACGAAATACAGTTTCCATTCCTCTATATCTTCGTCAACTGCAATTCCTCTATATCTTCGTCAGCTGCAATTCCTCTATATCTTTGTTAGCCGCAAAAGGAACAATCTGTAAACAGTTAATAGTAAAACTCCAATACAAATTTTCCAAAAAAACTTCAATTAATAAGCATATATGGAGTTATGGTAACTAAAATTATTAAGATCACGAGACAACATAATTTCTAGGGTAAAACAGATATAACACAAGAACACGAAACACCAAATATTTTAACAATTTGACACTTTATATAGAGATTAGTTCTCCGAAGTCCAAAGAAACAATTTTAGACAGTGGCCACTAATTGCGAATAGTCCTTTTTTATGATAGGCCAAGAAGCAAAGAAGAAATAATTTAGGTTGATAAAAGTTTACATAAATCAAGTAGTTTTTGCATGGCGATATCATCAATGCCCAAGACTAGAATATGACTAAGATCCACCCTTGAGTTTTTAGAATTAATGGCGTGGAAAAGGTTTATTGGCAAATAATGGCAAAAGAAAACTATACATCATTGTCAACCATAATTTAAAGCAATCTTGAACTACGGTTCTAATATCCCAAGAATATGCAGAAATATGATGTCTTAGAATGGATGTTTAAGGATCTTCAGGCTCGGTTAAAACTAAAAATCTTTATCCAAACACATTTAGCATGTTTGGGTTGGCTTCACTTTTGCCAAAATTGATTCAGATATTGGACATTAAAGGCAACGGAACATAGTTGTTTCAAGTTTCTCATGACCATGATTCCCTCACTTCCAATCCAAACACACCATTTATCAATTTTGGTACGAACAAATGCATAAGCTGTAAAATCCTTTATTACCTCTCAAGAAAAAATGAAAAAGCAAACTAGCTTTCATCATCAGTACTTATTTCGGAAGTATCATCTCCCTCATGATAATATTCATCTTCTTCTTCATCTTCACTTTCTTCCGTTTGGAGTTCATGCACCGGATGGCCTAGAGTCTGAGAGGCCTTGTCAATCTGAAAGTAGATTTAGTAAGACCCCTGAAAATCAATAACATTCAAAGACGACCTAACCAATTTTAGAAAATGGGATTATACCTGTGATGTCACCAGTTGCAGACGACCTGATAATTGTAATAAAGGCTGAAGTGTTTCCGCTCTAGAATTTGTGATCTGAAAAGTGGCAGAAAACAATTCAAATTCCTAAAACATTTATCAAAGTAAAGCTATATCAGTCAACAGAGAAACAGAAATCACCAGAAAATGAGAATGATCAGAAGAAAAAGTTGACAAAACACAAATCAGAGAAGCCTTAGTTTTATTAAAAAAATATATTTATGTGCATAATATAATATAATTTTAACCAAGCCAGTTAAATTAACTGATCCTTTGACCAATTCATCATCTTTCAAGTTTTTGTTTCCGAGAAAAAACATCTACAAAGTTAACCATATGACAAAACTCAACATAGGAGGAACACGTCATATTAAGACATTAATGAAGCATTTGTTATAGAAGAAGGAATAATAGAAGAAGCAGCAGAATTAAATAAGGGGAAGTATTTTTGAAATTTTATATTGTAAATAAAGCATGATAAATTTAAAGTTGAGATTACAGATAATGAGAAAATAAACGAGAAAGCAACATTTATATATTATACCTTGTCTAAGGAATCAAGTGTGTGCGTATCGGATTTCTCAGCAATGACATTGTGAGCATGATTCACTAATATGCCGTATATCCATGGAAGAATATACTTTCCACTAGATGACCTGTTGAACAAAGATTTATTAACGTCGAGAGAATTGAGTGCATATGCTTTGCCATTTAGGATAAATAAAATACATTATGAAAGATATCACAATTGCTTGTTTCCACTCCACAATTTTTTTTAAACAGGAACATGTGAAAATAAGGTGGCATTTTTTTACTTATTAATGAAAACAAGATGTTTTCTGAAACCAAACAAGATCTAAGCTAAATAGCATCTTCCTTAACACGATTACACGTTAACATTGACTCCAATGCTTTGAAAATACTTGAGCTATTGAAGTATTTATCATCATAAGATGACATTTAAGTTACCAAACATTACTATTTGGTTAATTTTGATTCCAATCTTGTAGGATTATGATAGGCCCATAGTAAAGATTTATCAAAGGAGAGGTAAAGAGAGAAATAGAGGAATGGACTATGGAGAGGAGAGGCCCAAATAAGGTTAATGGTGAGGTGAGTAACAGAATTTCCAAGTGGAAAGAAGAGAATGGAGGACTGATGTGTGAGAATCAAGAGTATTTGAGGAAGGGTAACGGAATGGTGGGAGAGGAGAATATTGGAGAGGTTTGAGCTAAGTAGAGAAGGTTCTCTCTGTCTGTGGGAGTGTCAACATGTTTTCCCTTAATTTTCCTTTCCATCTGGTGAGGAGTTTGTCTACTCCAGTTCATTGTCATTCTGTAGTAATTCTGTATAATTTTCCTATCCATCTGGCAAGGAGTTGTCTACTCCTGTTCATTGTTATTCTGCAGTACTTATGTTGTTTCATTGGTGATGCTGTGTTGGAGTAATTGTAATTGAGAAATTTAAATACAAAGTTCAGTTTCATTTCTTCTACATTTGGTTCCTATCAGACTACAAAAAATTAATTAAAAAACATTAAAATATGATCCCAGGCAAGACGCATTCAGTTTTGTATCATTAGATAATTGAGCTTTTGCTCCTTGTAAAAGGAAGAATCCTTTGAGGGGGAAATCCTCAGAAGAGAGATCTCTCCTATTTTCCATTCTTTCACATTCCTATTCTAGGTTCATAAGACATTGGCTTTCCATTTCTACTTGGGGAAGAAAGTAGACATCCGATGCTACTCCAACATTAACATTTGGTCTTTTAATATTGCGATAAAACAATGAACAAACAAGAGAAAGTTCAGAGATTCTAGCATAGGCAAGAAACAATTCAGAGAAAGCCCAAAAAAAGAAACCAAACCTTGATTCCCATGCAGCCAGTAATGCTTTCAGTAGGATGAATGCTTCCCTTGGCTCCACAGACAAAACAGCTGCTCTTATCTGATAAATGAATCTTAAATTCAGGCACATAAACAATTACATGCAACTTTTGAAAAATATAGACAATGTAACTCAATGACAATGAAAAAGTAAATAGATAAAGGCACATAAACCAAAAGCAATACTAAATAACAGTCACATGGATTCAAACTAACTTTTTTGGCTGGAATAGTAGCTTCCAGATCAATACCCTTCAACAACTTAGAGCAAAGTTCAATGTTTGATTCATAGTCACTTTCACTGGAAAGCATCCCTAGTGATCTTAGCAGGTCCTCCATGCAAAGGCCATCAGTCTCACTTTGGGCCATATCATCTGCATAGATTGGTAAAATAAACAGATTAAGCAATGCAGAAAAGAAGTGTCAATGCACCTCTATTCTAGTACATACTTAGTAGCACTAACAAACAGAAGACAGGCAACTTATATTAAAATATATCTAATTTGGCAGCGGAAATGGCAATAAGCCAATGACGTTTACAATGGAAGAATGCTCTAACCCATTTGACTGGTGGTTGAAAAAAGTTAACAATTCATAAGCAATTATAATTCCTCAATATCCTTACTGAAAGGTCAAAACTGTGTGGTTGACCTGGCATTCAACATAAGGAGTTTTATGTAGACAAGCTAGCCTCTCATGATCTTACTATAACAGGACTATTTTTAGGTGGATTTAATTCACAGTTTCAGTAGTCAGGACTTTAACTACAATAGGATTGGTTTACCTAAATATAAGTTTAATTGATCTTTGTTTTCATGGGTTTGGTTTATGCCTCCCACCAAAATTTTCTTGTTCTCTTTCATTTGTTTTTTAGTAAATTTATGGTGTGTTGCAAGTAACTGGTAGTGGCAGACACAACCTAATTGGAATGTCTCTCTATAATAATTTTGCATGCTAATTTTGTTTTAAAAAACAAACAACCAAACAATCCACACACATGCATAAGGAGTTATGGTACACTTTTTACATCAAATGACGGACAAGGTTGAAGATGATAGACATTTACAAATTGGATAAAAACAGATGCATATGACAACACTGTTTTGTAACAAACAATAATGTAGGTTACTCAGATAAGTAAACAGAAAAACAAAATACCTAGAAGTTAATTGGCCACGTAAGAACCTTAGCATTATTTCAACCTATACACTTTCTCACCTTGCTCTCTGTAGAGCCCATGCAGGATGGACTTGTTATTAGGCAAATGAAATTACCAGATTGGTATCAATTCTTCAACATATATATTACGCAACAAATTCAATTTTCAAGAAAATAATGAAAGTGTTCAATTTATTGCTCAGCAAGATAATACGGTAATAATCCAAAAAAGACACGTGCAAGCTATATTAATACCTTCCATCACAACAGAATCATCATTACTACTTCTGCACAAATCATCATCTACATCTTTGGCCAAAGATTTTTGAAGTGCTTTCTCTTTCTCGTGCTCATGGGAATCAAAAACCTTAGGAATTGGAAGCAATGCATCCTCAGCATTTGCTCGGTCAAGTGCAGTAACTGTCAAAATATAGGAGCAGCAGTTAGTAACCTAAAATAGGATCAAGAATACAGTTACTAAGAAATATAAGATCTGCTTATTTTGGGAGATAAGTTCAAAATTAGATATAGAATCAGATAGCAACGTTGTGTTCATCAAAGAAACATTGAAAAAATGCTCGTGGGAAAGAGTTAATCAAAATCACAAATGTCTTACCTGTTTGTGCATTTGTCCCCTTCCTAGATTTGACAAGAGCTTGACTTGTTGGCAGAAGAAAACCATCATGAGAGACATTCAACTTTACATCTGTACCAGAATGCACTAGAATTTTTTTAAATGATGGTTTCACAAGTAACCCATAAACAAGGAAAACTTGCCCAGAGGCTGCCTTCTGGATGCCTTGTAATTTTGCAGCATATATTGATGGCAAAGCTCCTTTGTAATTCCTCATGGGCATGTCCTCTAAAGATAATGATATTTTTGTGGCTTTTGCACTACGCAATTCTTCAATACTATTACCAAACCATAAATAACAAATGCCAATTTCTGAAATGGCCAAAACACATATACTAGTCATGTCATGCTCCCCACTATCAATGCACCTGCTATCAAGAAATACAGCAGGATGCTCCATCGCGAGAACACAACAAGCTGACTGCTTTTTAGCACCATCTAACCTCCAAACAGCAACATATCTTTCACCAACAGCAGATGAGAAAATATACTTGCCATCTTCCGTGAAAACCATGCATCGAACAGAACCCTGTTAATAAAACTAAATCAATGTTGTACAAACAATAAAATCATCACAAAGACAGCTTTAAAAACAGGCTTGCTTGTTTTTAGGACACATATTACTAGGGCACTGATAGAGTATATGCATGTATATAGGTAATATATATGAGACTCACAGGATGACCAGCGAACTTTTGAATCTTTTTGTGATTAGAGCAGTTAAAAATCTTCAATTGTGAAGCTGCAGTAGCTAATGTCTTCCCATCTGATTTAAGTAAAGAAGCAGTTACCAAAATCAGTAATCAAAATAGTAGTAATAATACCTACAAAGTGAATATTCATCTAAATCATGATAAGCTGAAGCCCTTCTGACTCACTAAAGCTTGTGAATTAGTTATTGTTAGATATTGTTTAGATATTATTTGATATTATTAATATATTGTTAGATATTGGTAACCACAATATCAAACAATATTTTCTGTTTATTCTGTTACTTTCAGTTACTCTTTTAGTTGTATCTCTCTACTATAAATAGACCACCCTATGTGTGATTTATACACAAGGGAGATTAATTCCAAACCCTATTTCCTCTATATTCAACATGGTATCAGAGCTTAAGGTTATCTTGAATTTTTTTTTCGCCTTTTGTCCACAGTTGGAGCCGCCCCACCGTTGCTAGAGCCGCCCCACCGCTGCTGGTAAACCGATCCTCCACATCAGAAAATAATTATCTTTGTTACTGAATTTTATTTGGTAGTGTGAAAGTGCATGTTTAGGAAAGTTCTGACAAGGAAAGACTTGGTATTTAAGTGTGTCCATTAGTGACTCATCTCTCTTTTTTGAGAACTTACTTGGTGTACTAGTTCACGTTGCTGTCACCGCTTCCGCTGGAGCAGTCACCGGATCCACCGCTGCCGGAGAAATCGCCGGAGTTTCATTTTTTTTTTTGACCGGTGACATATAATTTTGTTTGTCTCGGTCAAGTGACCACCGTTGAGATCACCACTATCGGAGTTGGTCGTCCCATTGTCTCCTGCACCGTTTAGTTTTGACGAACTTATTTTTAGTATTCTCATTTTGGATTTGTGTTTCGTGGGTTAATTGGATTACTTTGGATTGTTTTAGGGTTTGTTCTCCCGCTCTTCATGACTTCTTCCACTTCTTCTACTATTTCCAATTTTGTTAACGATTCTTTTGTGTTGACATCCCATTGTGATGACCGGACTCGCCCTCACAAACAGGAAAAAGGGTGTCCTAAGTGTGAACATTGTGGCAAGCTAGGTCACAAGATTAACAAGTGTTATACATTACATGGTCGTCCTCCTCAATCTGCTGTAGTTGTTCAAACCAATCTTTTCCTACCTTTATCTGCAGGGGATCCTTCTTCTTTTGTTGCATCCAACATGCCTGCTATGTTCAACAAATTTCTCGAATGGTATAAGGATCAACAATCTTCTAGTTCCACTATATCTGTCACACATACAAATACATATTTTGCTGGTCTTACCCAATCATTTTCTCCTGGTCCTTGGGTTTTTGATTCGGGAGCCACTGATCATATTACTGGTAACAAATCTTTGTTCTCCTCTTTATCCTCTCCTAATCATTTACCTTCTGTTACACTGGCTGATGGCTCTAGAGTATCACCTCATGGTGTTGGAACGGTTAAACTTTTTCCTTCTTTAACCATTGATAATGTTCTTTATGTCCCTGGGTCTCCTTTTAACCTGTTGTCCATCAGTCGTCTAACTCGTTCTCTTGATTGTGTTGTTAATTTTACCAACAATTCTGTGTGTTTACAGGACCAGAGTTCGAAACAGGTGATTGGAACAGGATGTGAGTCTCATGGTCTTTATTATCTCCGTCCCTCTACACATGTTAGTACAGTTATGGAGTCTCCCTCTCTTCTTCATGCTCAGTTAGGTCATCCAAGTCTTGCCAAGTTACAGAAACTTGTCTCTGCCTTGTCCAACTTATCTAGTTTGGCGTGTGAGTCATGTCAATTAGGCAAACATAGTCATACTTCCTTTCCTCGTAGTTTCACGCGTGGTGCTTCGTCCCCTTTTGTCGTGGTTCTAATAACCATACAAGAGTTGTTTGCTACTCAGATGCTGATTGGGCAGAATCTCATTCGGATAGAAAATCTATATCTGGATATTGTGTCTCCATTGGTGGTAACTTGATCTCATGGAAAAGTAAGAAACAAAGTGTTGTGACAAGATCCAGTGCAGAAGCAGAATATAGAGCTATTGCCTCAGCTTCCTGTGAACTTGTTTGGCTCAAGCAATTGCTTAGAGAGTTACAATTTGGAGGTGTCACTCAAATGACACTTGTGTGTGACAATCAGGCTGTTCTTCATATTAGTTCTAATCTTGTCTTTCATGAGAGGACCAAACACATTGAGATTGATTGTCATTTTATTCGAGAAAAGATTATGTCTGGAGATATCAAGACTGAGTTTGTTAACTCAAGTGATCAGTTAGCAGATATTTTTACTAAATCTTTACGGGGTCCTAGAATTGATTATATTTGTAACAAGCTTGACACATACGATTTGTATGCTCCAGCTTGAGGGGAAGTGTTAGATATTGTTTAGATATTATTTTATATTGTTAAGATATTGTTAGATATTGGTAACCACAATATCAAACAATATCTTCTGTTTATTCTGTTACTTTCAGTTACTCTTTTAGTTGTATCTCTCTACTATAAATAGACCACCCTATGTGTGATTTATACACAAGGGAGATTAATTTCAAACCCTATTTCCTCTATATTCAACAGTTATAATAGTATGGCAACCATTAAAAAAATATGGCCTAAAAAGATCAACAGATTTTCATTCTAATATTAATAATAATTAAAGAACTAACTTTGAGAGCAGATGGCCTCCCTAATTAGATTTGTCAAACCTTACAATTATAAATTTGAGCTTTCTATTTGCAATTTTTTTTGTCAAACAAAATGTAATAGAAGCTTAAACAATCTCATGGGAAACTCAATCAAACTGTACCACACACCAATGTCTAAATCTGATTAATTCGGCCAGACAACAAAAAATTAGCTTCAGTTGCTCCCACCAAAAAAACAAGATTTAAATTCAGCCAGACAAAAGCTGTTAAGGATAAATACCTGGAGAAATACACATGCAGGATATTGCCTTGGTAGAAGCTTTAAATTTCTCTAACAGGTTTCCTGTCATGAAATCTATCACACATACCATCCCATCTGCACCAGCTGTAAAAATGCTTGACACGTTTGCTGAAGATGCAATGGCTCTCACACCTCTGCAGTTGAGTTGAAGAAAAACGAAAGAGAAATTAGGAACTAAAACCCATCAAATCCACGAATTAACATTGCTTGGAGTCACGATTCCCAATGATCACGGAGTTACGTATTTTAAAATCTACAGAGCATTAGGGTAAACCCATCCATTAAAATACAGTAAAAGATTGAAAATAACATAGGTGCAGCTCTCTATGGTTGTTCTCTAGTCAAAATTAGAGTTCCACCTTCATAATTCACACAGTTAATCTCAACCTTAAAAGTCGATTTCCAAGTTGTAACTTCAATTTTAATCGGATATTAAAAACACCTAAGCTATTATAGATAAGTTTATTAAATGGTAAGGAGATGGTATATCTAACCCAGGATGACAATCAGTAATTCTCCAACTCAACTGACCAGCAGCAACATCAAGTGCCAAAACATCACCACTACCAGTTCCAAGTACTAACAACGAGGATACATGCTTCCGTTTCCTCTGCAATAATCATCACAATATGAACTATAAATATATATATCATTATAAAAGAAATCATACATATATATATATATATATATATATATATATATATATATGTGTGTGTGTGTGTGCGTGTGTGTTTCTAACGAAATAATAGATACACGCGTACACATAATTGAAAAAAAAGAGAGAGTAAGGAACCTTTCTTTCGAGGGAGAACCACTTGATGCAGGTATAATCAAGCGCAAGATGCCCGTTAATGGACTTGTGCTGTAAGGTAGTTGTTGAATGAGTTGACGCAATATCTGCGAACTCGGTGTGCACCTGGCCACTCAGCGTGTCCCATATCTATACAGAGAAATTGTTGAGCTGGGTGAATAAGTAAACTAACAGTTGAGGAAGGAAAATGCTTAGAAGAAAGAGGAATAGAGAAAACCTTAACGCGGCCGTCCCCAGCGGTGATAGCGAAGAAGTCGAGAGTAGGATTGAAAGCGGTCAAAATCCCTCTGATGTCCGTTGAGGCCATCACCGAAACAGTTGAGGCTCGCAAGTCACACAGTGAACGAAAGAGGGTTCGCGTTCTCAACAAGAGAGAGGGGGAAACACAAAAAACTAAGTTCGGGTCGGGTCGGCGTTTCTTTTAATTTTTTTCATTTGCTTTTTAAAAAAGATTGGTCTAACAACCCTGGCTCCGTTTTAGTTTTATGGATCACAATTTATCCACTATGGACTTTATAAAGTTCGGCCCACCCACATGCCCCCAAACTATGATGTTAGCAGAATTCGTGTGGAAACAAAGGTGACGTGTGATATTGTATAAATAAAAATTACCTGTTAACATAAATTAAATTATGCACCTAAAAATATATAAATTAATTTGTAAAAAATTACATATTAAAATATTTTAAAACAATAAATAATTGAAATAATAATGGCTTGTTATTGAACTATTGTCTTTAAAAATTGAAATCAGATTCAGATTTGGATGGAAGGATGAATTAAATAAGAACACCATCCACTCTGGACATTTTGATCCATTCTATTCGATTAATTATCTTATAGATAGATTGTTATTTTTTAATAAATTATTATTTTATATATTAGTTATTTTATAATAAAAAAATATTTTATTAAAAGAAATAAAATTTAACACTAACTTCATTTTTAGTTTATTATTCAATTACAATGATTATATTAACAACAATAAGATAAAATCACAAGTATTATCATGTTAGAAAAACTAACCTTAATTCTTTCTCAATATGTATTTTTATTTTTGTTCATATTTTTTTTATTATCTTAGTTACAAGGATGAAAATTCAATTCCAAAGAAAAAAAAAACATATTTAACTTTTTTTTCTCTCATGACCAATTGAAATCATTAGTCACTCGGAAATTATTATTAGTGACTTTATGTACCGAGAATGATTTACTCCCTATCATGCAATTATAATTGTTATGGTTGACTTTTTATAATAATTACATTAAAATCATATTGGAAATAATTTTTTATTGGTCAATATCTTAATTTTTTTTTATGTTAACAATGTCTTCAAATTAAGTTCTGAAATTTCATAAAAACTTCACGGATAAATAATATTATTTTAGTTTAAAGTAGAAATACTGTCAATTACCTAAAAAATCTGAATACCGTCCACTGAAATTTTGTTTTCTTTAACTGAAACTCACGGAAATCCATTACATCCTATCAATGGACCAATGCAGTAGTAAAGGTATAAATTTGAGTCCTCTTGTAGGCACTACCAAAATTTCATTACACATGAATGAAGAAATGAAGCTGTACAAATGTTGTGCTGCTTGCAGCATGGAAGAATGGAAATCTTAGGATGCAAAAATGAATAATTCGAATAATTGTCTTATTGGAAAGAATGTGGCTTAATCTGATATAGCAATGGCTGACCAATTTGTCCAGGCCTTCAAGCAGAGAATTGAAGAATATGATGAACCTTCTGTTGATAGGGATTATTGTTACATATCTGCAGTTTTTCCCTTGATACTCAGAAGGGAGAAACAATCCGAAAGGGTCTCAAGATCAGGACAGGGTTTGGGAAGAACAGAATATGAAAATCCAGAGACATTTGAACATTCCCAAGGGATGGAAAAAACAGAATTTATAGACAAGTTTATATTGGAGAGGCATATGTTTGTGAAGGGCGATTCTTGTAGTCCGGCAAAGCTTCCAGCAATAGTGATGTTCGTGCCAATTATATCTTGCAAAATAATGTGGTCCAAAAGTGGAAGAGCATTGGGATCAAAGTTGTCATCAGGATGAGATCCACAATAACCTGTGGCAGCAATTGCAGTGTATATATTCTCCATTTCTATTTCTGATATGATGATTTCCTTCATATAACCACCTCTACCCTTCATGGTTCTGAATTCAATGCCACTTCTTGAGTTGTAAAGATGAACATTCTCCACAAGAATGTTTGAAATGCCACCAGACATGTCACTGCCAAATGCGATAGTAGACCCAGAAGAAGCTTGCAAATCAACCCTTCTGATGTGTATATTCTCAGTTGGCCTGCCATAGGCAATGCCATATTCGTCCCAGCCACTTTTGAGGGCAATTGCATCATAGCCCGTTGCAATGACACAATCCTCTATACAAATATGATCAGAAGAATCTGAAAAACATTAAAATGCACCAAAATTAGTCAAGCGACTATTCTTAACATTTATAATAAGATATTGAAAATTGAGAGACAATGTTGTGCTAACAAAGTTAACCAAATGTAAATTCCATAATATGTAGCACACCTGGTACTATGCCAACGGTATAAGGGGATTCTGGAGGAGCAGAAATTGAAACATTGTAAATATGTACATTGCTGTTGGCAATACATAACCAAATCAATACCACTTCTGCTTTGAAAATAGCTATTACTTAGAGTGATGTTTTGAAGAAGCACAGAACATACCTGCAATAAACTGGGTGGATGCTATATGCAGGGGCATTCAAGAATGTAAGATTTGAAACTACCACATGATCAGATGTTACTAATTCAATCAGATGGGGACGACTGTAGTTCAGGGAATGAGAGCTAAACAATTCCCACCAAGCCAATCCCATGCCATCTATGATTCCATTATTACCTAGTAAAACCCATAAAGATATGAAAGTTCAAGCCACAAACACACGCATCAAAAAGATGGAAGATTTAGAAAAGACCTTCTGGTAAGAGGAAAAAGAAAACATGTTGGGAGTTGAAAAAAACCTGTAATCACCACATCATCTAACATGTATCCATTTATTAAACTCTGATACCTTCCCCCGGGAGCTTCAACTCCTCGACCATAAGAAGGTAACGGATCAACAACTTCCCAGTGAAATGGATCCTACAAAACAAGAATAACATTTAAAATAACCAAGAATGAGAAAAACGAGTTCTCAGTAAGAGTAACCTCCGACTGGAGTATGTCTCAGTAAAGAGGACAGTAATCAAAAGTCAGTAAAAGAAAAAGCAAAAGGTGAAATACCTGAGATCCAAGAATGACAGCACCTTTTTCCAAGAAGAGTGTAAGATGACTTGTAAGATTGAAACTTCTAGTCAACCATGTTCCTGGTGGTACATATAACTGAGCACCACCCTTGTCAGCAAATGACTTGAGATAGAAGATGGCGTTCTGGAATGCAATAGTGTTCAATGTTTTACCATCCCCAACCGCTCCAAACTCCAAGATGGAGACCGTGTGGGGTCTTGCCTTTGGTGCTGGATTATGCTCACACTGCTGTCTGCTACCACCATCACCATTAACTCTGACTTCATTGCTTATCGCCAGCAGCAAGAGCACTGCTACCTGAAAAACGATTTAGGGAGAGAAAATCAAACAATGGTTCTCACAACATGTCCCACAAATATAATAATAATTCACAGATTCCTAGGATTATATCCAAGATTGATTCAAGACAGAAACAGATTTTTCTTATATGAATAAATAAGTCACTTCCCTTTACCCGTAAGCACTTCCTATAGGAATGCGCAACTACCTTGGTTAAAAGAAAGTCTGAAAATCAAGAAATTGATAGCAAAGACAGTAAACAAAGCAGAAGACTCTTCTCCGTCAGTAATGTAATACCATGACTTAATGAATTGAAAACAATTGAGAAACTTGGAACAGAAGACGAAGTGTTCTAAATTGCCTTATTTGAGGATTGAAATGTGAAGTGTAAAAGTTTTACAGATCATAAAGATTTTCATTGAAGCCTGCCTGCCATGGACGGCAACGGCCATTGCCTCTGAAAGAAGCAAGACCAAACCCAAATGGAATCAAACACCTAGCACAATGGGATACACGTATACTCTGACTAATTCCAGCATCTAATATGTAGAAAGATTTAAAATTGAAAACAGATTTGCTGCAAAATTAAAACCCAACAGCAACATAAGACAACAAAACAAAATCAAGCAGAGCAACATACGTACTAGCATGTTCTTGGGTCAAAACTTGTGACAGAGGCACAAGGGACACCAGCACCGAGAAAGAACCAAATAAAAGAGAATTGCTGGGGCAGAGAAAGAATATTGAAGGGGAGGAGCAAGAAGCAAGGTGAAGAGAGGACAGAGACAACTTTATGCAAGTTAGCGAATATTATAAGCATTAATCATGTAAATGACAGAAAAGGAGAGGATTAATGGTTGTTTCTTACAAGACATGTATGCACACTTTTATATATATAATGAGAATGTTTTTCATCTTCGGTACGGTAAATTTATATCATATCATCGTATGTAAGTAATTGATATTAAAACTAATTAATAAATAAAATATTTATGGAAGCTTATTTAGTGTGGACATAAAGATAAATAAGAAGAGAACAGAGACAAGTAATTGATATAATTGATGATAAATGTTAAAAAAGGTAAAATATAAAAAGAAAATATTAATGGAGTGTTTTTACTCATTAAATGCTAAAAAAATATGACTTTAAAAATTTTAAAACTTCATATAAAAGGTAATTTTTTATTTTATATCGAATTATTTTGAAACTATAAATACAAATATATATTATTAAAGGTAAGGTTATTCAAAATATAATCAGATAGTGAATATGAATATTTATTAATAAAAATTCAAATATTGATTCATTGTTTTTTAAGGAATAAAGTGCTTATTTGACAAATACTCGTAATTTTAAATTTTTTTTAATATTTGACATAATATTAAAATTAATATATATATATATATATATATATATATATATATATATATATATATATATATAAGTGTGTGTTCTGTCCATTAATTTTTTTAATTTAATGTTATCTGACTTTGATGGCAAATTGTCAGGTATGATGAATTTATTAATTTCTACAATAATATTTTTTTAAATCATAAAAAGTTTTCTTTAATTGATTGAGAATGTATAATCTCTTTTTAAACAGTTTATGACAAATAAAATTTAATTATATAGCTTTTATGGTAGATATTATCAAATATTTTGTTGTATTAAAATATAAATCAAACGAAATGTTATTTATTTTCAAATTAAACATTTATAAATAGTAAATGAATGGTATATAAAACTCTGATACAAAAATAGACGATAAAGTTTACAGGGATGTTAGTAAATAATCAACATTTTGCACCAATATTATCGAAAAATATATTACCTAATTTAGTAAAAACATAACAAAGTGATTTTGATTTGTTTAACTAAATAGTTGTATGTAAAAATGTTTACTGCATTTATTTATAAAATTCAAATTCTAGTTGTTATAATGATAATAATATAATTAAATATACTAATAGTATAAAACTAAAATTTTATACCATTATATATTGTTAATTATGTTTGATAAATTAGATAATTTTTATAAAAATTATTTGAAAAAAAAATCACATATATATATAACTTTTAATAAGATCAAAAATAATTCATAGTGTTTAGTTTAAGAACAAGTTAAGTCCAATTAAAGACAGAAATAATTATATCAAAATTAATGGTAACAATTATTATTGTTGTTAAAATTAAACAAAAGTATAAATTTTACATTGCATAATTTAACTCCTTCATGAAATAATTATCATAAAAAAATAAACAAAAAATCTGATAAAGAAAAATAGGTAGGATAAATTTTATGTAGATTAAATATATAATAATATTATAATATATACAAAATATATTTTCTATTTAATAAATTGAATTAAATATTTATTTTTTATGAACAAATGATAAAATATATTTTTATTTAATTTTTTATTTTAGTTAATTGGGTTTAACATTTTTCCAACCAATCATGATCTTGGTTGCAATCCGTGTTTGTTTGTGGGAGATAGCACACGTGGCGAGCGTGTAGAGTGGAGATACAGAAGACGTAAGGAGTAGTAAGAGGGAGTGTGTGAAACGGTCGGTGAGGGAACAAGAAATGGAATAATAATGAGGAAATGCATGTGGAATGGACAGAACAGAAAGAAGAGTGGACCCCACACCAATCATCAATCATGCACAAGATGCTAGCCTGGCGTGCCGTCAATATATATCTCACTCTTCTTATCATAATATAAAATCACTACTATCTGTTAATTAATATTTAATAAATATTATCTTTCTTCTTTAATTACTCTTTTTTTTTTTGTCTCTCTTTGTCATCAATGAAATTTCGTAAATAATTTAATACTTAATTTAATATCACTATACTGACGCGTCCTTTTGTATGAAAAAAAAATTAATTGCATATTCTTTTTGCCTAATCATAGTCCATGTTCTTCACTGTTCCTTACAAGTCACATCAATAAAAATAAACATTTAATTGTTTTGTTGGCTGTCCTTAATTCTATCTTTTAATTATTCATGAATTTTACCTTACAAATATTTTAACTAAGCTATTTTTTATTTATTACTTAATATATAATAAAATACTAACATGACTTGTTAATGTACATTCCTGTCCATATTTACATTAAATATTAAATTAGCAGAAAACTAAAATTACATAATTAGAACAGTCGAAAGTTTTACAAATTTAGAAGGAAGAAATTCATAAAATTAAAAAAATAAAATACTAAACTAAAAATTTACTTCATTTTTTTTCTTTAAATATTTCATTTAATAAATAAAATATCAACATTTGGAGATATAATTTATAATAATATTTTATTTATATGCATAAAATCTCATAACCAAATATTACGTACTCATTTATTTTCACATAGACTAAATTCATAATGGTATAAATCAGCTTAAGATTTCAAAACAAATGCGATAACTCTTCTAAAGAAAAAAAACATAAATAAAATAAATTTCCTATTTGAAGCCTTTTACTTTTAGTGAAATATATATATTTCAACTTTTTCTTCTGGTAACGTATTATCTAATTAATTATTAATTTTTTCTAGTATTATTTTCTTTTACCAAGAAAAAAAATCTTAATTATGTATAAAGACGTAGGAACGCTAAATTTATGTATACTGCGGCATGTAGAAATTGAATTAGATCATAATGTAATTTTCTTTCTAAGGTAAGTAGCATTAAGAGCAACGACAATAGTGGTATGATAATTGTAATTTTAAAAATATATATTAAAAGTAAATATTTTAAATATTAATTTACTTATTTTTTATATATTAAAATATTTATGTATTTGTAGAAAAATTTAACTGAAAAATAAATATATATATATATATATATATATTATTTTAACCTGAATCCCTTATATAAATTTATTTATATAAATAATTATAATATATTTTTAAATGTTGTATATAAGATAATTAAAATAATAACTTTTGCAATTTCAGTTTTAATTATGTTTATATAATAATTATTATTATTACTATTATTATAATATTACATAAAAAAACATCTTAATTTCACTCGTATATAAGAATTAATTTGCAAGATGATAAGAAAATCTTTTTTCTATTAATGAGTAACACTATAAGTTAAAGATTTATCATATAAAATATTAAAGTTTTTTAACCTAAATTTGCTCAAATACGGTTCACATTATTAAGTATGAGTGAAAATATATTTTTAAACTAAATTATTGTATAAATATATTGGAGATTTCATTTTCAAACTATAACCTTGTTTCCTAAAACTTTTGGAGAGATATTAATATCATCATTATGTGGATAAAGCTCCTAATATTTCAACCCTATTAATTTCATAGATGTTGGATGAAAATATACAACATATGCATATCATAAGAGAGTTCTCCATAATTTTAAAATTAAACAATGTTTTATTATTATATTATTAATATTGAGTATTTATGTTAAATTTTTTTTTCATTGATAGAACTTGAGTTATTTAAAAATTATTTAATCAAATTACACTTAAACTTTCCAGTTGGTGACAAAATCTAATGTTAGGCCTCAATCAAATCCTCCAGAAGCACCAAAAGACAAAAGGTAGGAATGAGGAATTGAGAATTGGGAAATTGAAAATGCATGGATGGATGGTACAGTTGCTTGGTGGCAATTATTATTCATGTGGGGTAGGGTCGTGGCTTACATAGCATACACATAACCTAACCCACCTCCTAGTTTGTAATTATTAGCAACCCGCCAAACTAAAGTCTTGGTTAAATTAAGTTTAGTGTTGAATTCTGTCAAAAAAAAAAAATTTCTTCCAAGCTACAGGCCCAAGCTCTCCATTAATGTAGAGATACCTGGCGACAAAAAATATATATAATATAAAATGATAGTTGGATTAAAAATATTAATTTTGTTCAATGAAAAATATTTAAAGTTATTTTTTATTTTGTTACTATTTTTCCACTCTTTCTTTCCGTTATACAAATAAAGAGAGAAAATATCTTCCAATTTTTGTATTTCATATTCAAACAATACTAAATAAACACTTTTATGTTTTAAATAATAGAGTAAATATTTTTTTCTTAATAAAATGTACATATATAAATAATTTTTATGTAATGAACAATTCTGAATCTAAATATTAATTGCCAACAAAAATCTAGTTCTAGATACAGTACTTATTTAGTCTCGGTCTCGTATAATATTATATCATTACAAGTTTATTACATTTTATTAATAATTATTTACTATTTATTATTATTATTATTATTAATTTAAGTATTAAAATAATGAAAAATGATATTTTGACAACTTAAATC